TAAATGTACTAGACATTAAAGGTCATATAGCACTAAGGTACTGTCTTGTGGTGCAAGAGTTTTTAAAAGTTCTTTATTAGGATTAAAATGCCTTAGGTTTCAACGGTCATATATTATAAGATAATAAGGTAATGAAAGGAGTAGAAAGAGGGGGTAAATGGGATAGGTTAGGTATTGATAAACAGGGGAGGGGGTAAGAACAAAGGGTGGTTAGATCAAATGAAGGATATTTACACGAAGAACAGGTTGTCAGTGGAAAAGGTGGGGGATTCTGTGAGGATGTCCAACAGGTTGGGGAGTCGGGGAAGAAAGGATATTTGCGGGAACGTAAAGGGTAGAGTAGCGTGACATGAGGTATGAATGAATGAGTCGAGTGTAACCTATTCTTAAACGGGCCAGGGCAGTTTCCCAACGTGTTCTGGTGGTATGGGGCTGACCAAGGAGAGATTGAAGGTTTTATGGTTTGAAGTTTGCCTACAGTTATAGAGGAAAGTTTTGAAGTGGGGATAGTAGTCGGTGGCTGGAATGCATGAAAAGCGAGGTTGGTGGGTTGTGAACAAGGCGGCAGATCGTGCTAAGTCATATGCTTGTTCATTGCCGGGAATCCCGACATCTGGGTATCCAGCAAAAGTTCACTGCTTTCTGTCGTGTAGACAGAATAGCTGGTCATGTATCTTATGGGTTATAGGGTGTATGGATTGTATGAGTGATACTGAGTTGCGGGAGTTTGTGATGATGCTGAAGGATGAGGAAGAGATGGAAGACGCGTTGTAAAGATAATAGCATATAGTACTGTTGTAAGGACGCTCGATTCAGGTGGAAGAGGAAAGCTGTGTGTGAGAGAGAGAGAAAGACTGCGGCAAAACCAGCACCTAAGGTGGATTTGGAGCCGTTAGTATAGGCATGAGTACTAAAGGAGTGACTAGAGATATGTGCAAGAAAATGTGTGAGGAGATAGAGGGGGGAATGTAGATCAGGAAAAATAGAACACTTACAAGAGGCAGGTATCAGCCAGCGAGGGAAAGTTTGGGCAGAAGGAGGAAGAGTTCGGAGATGAGGAATGGATGAATGGGGAAGTAGAACGTCCATACGAACAGGGAGAGGAACAGCTAAACGTGGACAGGAAGTGAAGGTATGAAAGTTGAGGAACAATTCGCTTGGAGAGAAAAATTGTGGAAACGAGCATAGCTCCCAGGGCTAAGTGGACACCGCAATGGTGTATTGGGTCAAATTGAGAGAGAAGACGGTCAGAGGCAGAAGAATATATATGCCAGCCATAATCAAGGGTGGAGAGGATTGGGGTATTATGGGGATGGAGAAATGCTTTGCGGTCTGAACTCCAGGATAGGTGAGACAGGGTTTGTAGGAGTCGAAGGCGATGGCGGGCTTTTTCTTTAATAGAGGATATGATCTCACCTTCATGGGCGTTGCGGCATGACTGTAGCGCTTAACGGATTACAGAAAAAAGGGTGCATTATAAGATTCTGCAGATGACAGGGAGATGGAGATGGGAGTGCGCTCTTTTTTATAGGGAGGTGAAGAGGAGATCGGCATCGGAGGATTCGAGGATGTAGGTGTGGGATGGGATCCGTTAGAAGATGGGGTGAAGCATTTGGATTGTCTGATGCAATAGGTAAGGCGAGAAGTAGGAAGAGACAGAGGAAGTTGTGGATATTGGAGTGTCTGAATTTAGAATGGAAAAAGGATTTGACTGGGAAACTAGGGAAGTAGAGGTGGGAAGTTGAGGAGCAGGGAAAAGTGGTAGATGTAGAGACTACTTGGGTAGAGCGGATAGGTATTGGAGTAAGGAGTGACTGAAAAACCTCGTTGGCGAGCTTCTTGTTTAGTCTCTCGTAGTGTGAGGCCGAGCTTGTATTGGAGACCTGGTACTTTACACACAAATTTGTCGGCGGGGTAGCCACTATATAAATAATACATTAGGGGTCCACACAATTAGCACATGTACGTGATTGTATAGGGCAGTTTGAACGGTCATGACCGGATTGAACACATAGTGGGCAGTGGGCTGTGGAGCGACAGTGAATAGTATATCATTGTACTGCTACAGCATCATAGCCAGTGAGGCAGGCAAGGTCGTCTTCACAGTCTGACCAATTTTTGTCGGAGACTGGGGCTCAGTTTTGACCAGGGGATAGGTTTGTCAGTGAGATCTCTCAGGGTACACCGAACTAACTGTGGGTCGTTGTTGGGTGCGTTCGCCGCAGGCGGCTGGAGTTGCTTATTGGTTATGTGGTTGGTGGCGGGTGTGTGTGATGGGGGGGCGGGATGTGGGGGGCGGCGAGGGGGGACGTGGGGTGGAGGGTGTGCTGTTGGGGTTGGGTTGTGTTGGGTTTATATGGCGGGAGTGTGCAATATGTAAGAGGGGGATTGGGGTGGGTGCAGATGCTTTTACAGATTGTATAATGGGTATGTGGGTTGTGTTGAGGGTGTACTAACATGGTGAGTTAGGTAAGTTTGGTATGATAGGCGTCCTTATAAGAGTAAATCTTATTTTTTTACAGTATGGAAGCCCTGAATGTGTGGGGAAGTAAAAGGTATAGTGTCCCATAAAAGGTAGGATATGAATTTACATAATACGTTCATGGTCTGAGGCGTCATATGATGGCACAAATAGCCTTCAAGCTTCACACATGGTTTCTTGAATTTGAAAGGGAAGGGTAGGAGATAAAGAAAGTTATGGTTAAAGCAAAAGTTATATAGCACTAAGAAGATGTAAAGGTGAATCAGGATGTCTATGCATAATATTAGTAATGTTGGATATGAAGAGTTAGTTGACGAGGGGAAAGGCTTTATGTGTGTAGGAATAGATAAAGTAGGATTTTGCAATTTGAGGAAGAACATTTTTAAGGGAAGATTGAAGAAATCTGGTCCTGTGAATGAAAATCAAATTCATGTATGAGAAGTTATACTTAGTTTCTTTTTGAGTGCCCAATGTGTTGGATTGGGGGGTAATAGGGGGTTGTGAATGCGTGTTCGTGTATCCAGGAGGGAGTGGAAAGATAGGGTGGAGGGAGGAGAAGTAAGAGAAAGAAAGGGGAAGAAGAAAAGACCATGCAAAATCAGTTGTGGTAAGGGTTGAGGTCCAAAGCGGGGGAGATCCCTGTATTGCCTCAGTCTGTCTCCTAGGCCCACACAACTAGGAGTAAGGGATTGGGGGAGATAAAATAAATAAACTCAACATCCAAGACTTCAAATACTTTTATGATATACTTATGTCTTGTTGAACACTGTATATTGAAGTGAAAGTAAAAATATGTAAAAAAAAATAAATAAATAAATAAAAAATCATTTAAACAAACTTTAATGTTCAATGAAGTTTTGTTTTGTGAAATGTATGTACAAGCTGATGGCTCCACAACTACTCAACCATTAAGGAGTTTATTGGTAGGCTTAAGCAACCTTACATGATCCCTTTCCTTGAGTTTTCAGTGATTTTTTCAATGCTATTAACATTAATGTGGTTACCTTCATCGTTGACATTATGATTTTTATAATGTCAATAACAGGGGAAAAAAGCAAGATACATAGGATGAGTAGCCGATTCCATATTGAATATGCACTTGTGGTACCATGATAGTGTATACACAAACTACTCACAGTAGGCATGGAACATACATAAATGCCTTCCCCAGCAGCATTGGGTTAAGAAAATTACTTAAACAAATATCAAAGTTTTATACAATTTTACTGATGAGAAAGGCTGTAATGCACATAAAGATGTCATAACTTAATTCACCTGCAATGAACAGCAAAGATTACTTGATATGCTATTTATCAAAAACCTCTCACCATAGTTATCTAATTAAAATGCCATGTACTAAGTGTACAGTTTTATTAAAACAGCTATATAAAAATAAACAAGATAGATCTTCCTCATAGTTCTTTCCAAAGACATGTTGCAATTTAGTTACTTTCCAATTCTGTCAGCACATAATATACCCATTATAAGACACCAATAGTTATAAAATCGAAATAATTAAATCCATACCTGCTCATAGGATTTTTGTTATAATAAGAAAACTTTAGATCAGTCCACAGTGGATACTTTGGAACCTATAAAATGTCACTTAAACTAGAGAAAAGTAGTATAAACACGTATAAAGAATAGCAAGATCTACAAATCAGAAAAATTAATTCCATTTAAGACCACAGAATCAGCCATATATTTTCATCCATAGCTATGATAGTGCTATACTTTGATAAGCCCTGCTTTTCCTTTACAACTGGCTGGGTCATTCATTGTTTAAACAAAATCATTATATCAAAATACTATTTATAAAGTTACATGTTCCAATTTACCTACTTGTTAGTGTTTTACTTCTTGACTTAGTATGGGAAAAGAATTGACCATTTACAAAGTTTTGAGGGACAAAAATTAATAAAACATTCAATGGCAAACTAACATTTCTAGTGACATCTTCACTTAACTATTCCATATATAGAGATTATGAAGACAACTTATCAAACAACAACAGTAACTAAAAATAAATAAATAAAGCTGATAAATAGTTTTCACCGGTAACAGCTTTAACTTATCTCTACTACACATTTTTAAAATTTTATCTTTTTTCAGACAGACATTCTGAGAAGCTGGTATTTTCATTCTTTGCCGATTGTTCATTTTAATTTGTACATGTGGTGTCATTTGCTTAGAAAAGCAATAATTTGGAACTAAAAGAAAGCAAAAACGTTTATGCATTCTACCTGACAGCAACAACTTGTCTATGGGTCAGGGGATAAAGATCCTAATAAAAAAATAGTAACAACTCTGACACACCAGGCTTTAAGCAGCCACTTGTGTGCATTTGACATTTTTCTCTGAGCAATCAATCATCCCACTAAAAAAAAAAAAAAAAAAAAAAAAAAAAAAAAAAAAAAAAAAAAAAAAAATATATATACATATATAAATATATTATATTATATATATATATATATATATATATATATAATATATAATATATATATATATACATACATATACATATACATATATACATACATACATACATACATACATACATACATACATACATACATACATACATACATACATACATACATACATACATACATATATACATACATACATACATACATATATATATATATATATATATATATATATATATAAGAGAACTATAGTATAGAAGCATATGGATTAAGAAAATATATTTTTTGAGCTGTTGATGAAGAATAAAACATCTAAAAATATGCAAATAAATACATAAATAACTAAAAATCTTAACAAACTGCTCCCAACTTTAAGACAATCAAAAGTAAAATCATAAACAAATGAAGGACAAAAAAATAAAAATCAAGTTTATGGCATAAAATTTATATTCAGATGAAATAAAGGTAACTATGATATGGAAATGTGAAAACTTAATACAAAGTAAAGAATAACAGAACAGGGGAAGCTGGAGTCTGTAAACTTTCTTTCACATAAATGGAAAAGACCAGACCTTAAAATTTCAATAACAAAAAGGCTCCCAAATTCAAACATCCCTTAAATGCTATATATACATCACTGTTACATGATTTGGGTTGTTAGTTTTTTAAAGTGGAAGAAAAAACATCAAATAACGATAATAAGAAGTAAAGGCAATAATAGAGAATTACAAAATAATAATAATAATAATAATAAAATTACATTCAGCCATAGAAAGACAAAATCAAGATCCCTGTAAAACTGAACAGCAAAGAAAATAAGCATAGGAACGGAAGATTCACAGTTGTGTCGGGGTGAAAGAGTCAAGTCACAGCCGAGAGAAGACAAGAATGATGAGCTAGTGATAGGCATGGGCATCGATGAACACTGGGGTCGTCCTACTGTTGTTCTTCATCTTCCTCCTCATCCTCATCCATCTTTGGGGGTCGTCCTA